TATTCTGATCATCTAAGTAATTGTCAGGAGTAAAAATATTCATACATTCCTCAAAAAAGAAGTTACTTTAAGCTTAGATTATTCAATAGATAGCTCCGGTTGTTTACGTAATGTAAACCATGCCGTTTAGATAATATCCACACTGAATTTAATGAAATAAAAACAAAAATAGTTGGGTTTGAGGAAAGTTCTGAGATAAAAAATCACACAAACCCCTTAATCTGTCTCCCTCTCTCTTCCCACAATAAGTTCAGCTTTGTGCTGACAGGAAGTGGATTGTCAAAAGGACCCTTGTCTCCCAGTAGAAGCTCTGTCGTTATGTCGACAAAGTGTGAATGTTCTTCTAACCTTTGACCCTTATTTCCGAAGAGTTCTCCATTCAGGCTTGACGCACCCTACAGTGAGAAATTCTATGGGACCAGCTTGGAATTTTTCTTTTGTGGACAGGACAACTATACAGAGAATTTATTTTCCATACATAATCGAGCAAAAATACTACGAAGCAAAAACGAAAAAAAATAAAAAATAAATAAAACAGTTCTAAATGATATATTGAATTTTGTAATCTTCAAAGCCTTACAAAGTGTTTTCGCAATGAGGTCATTTGATTGGAAGTCTTAGGCCCTAATGTATGTGTATACTTTTCTCATTTATGAACTACCAACACTTTATAAGTATAAAAAAATATTCAACTGCCAAGTTAACACAAAACTTTTTTGTGTGTATGTGAACAGCGTTCTTTTCCAACTAATCTGCAGTTAGTGTGTAAATTTACTAGTGATATTTATCAAGTTGTCTGATTTCATGTAGATTTTATTAATCTAAAAAATCACTAATTTGTATAATTCACGACGTGCAACTAATTTTTGTTTTATTTTGTTTCAGAATTTTGCGCATAAGGATCTGCACTTAGGGTCCCTAATTTTGAATTGAGAGACTTAAGGGAAAGCTGCTAATCAACAGCACCCCTCATCAACTTTTGGGCCACTCTTGTCTGACCGAATAATAGGATGCAACGTCACTTTTATAGTGCATTCACAATCTCAAAGTGCGGAGCGCCTTTTTGCGGCGACAGGTAAAGTACCCTGAATCCTAGAATTAACATTTTAACAAGGCTTTCTTTCCTTAGGTTGTGAGAAAGAAGATTTATTAATAAATGTTTAATTTATGTTTAAGTTTTGCTTAACTCATCTTCTCCCTGAGGTTTCCCTTGGTGGCTCAGTTGTAAATGTGGAGTTCGATCCCTGTGATGAATGCAACACAGTTAGTTCATTGTACAGTTATGCAATTAGCAACAAATAAATCATCTTTCTGAGGTAGTTTAGGCTTGAGGCGAGGAAAATCATATGACACAACTAATAGAGATTTGTTTGTTTGTAATTAAGCACAAAGCTACACAATGGGCAATCTGCCAACCATGGGTAGCGAAACCCAGATTCTAGCATTGTAAGTCCGCAGACATACTGCTGTGCCACTGGGGGCACTAATACAGAATCCAGCTGGCTATGGTATCATATTTTTACATTACGATAATTCTCATGGACCTCAAAGGTATATCTTGAAAAGAAAAGAGAATACACTATATAGAAGAAATATGCCATTAATTTACTCTTTATGTTTAATAAAATAAATAAAGGAACATTGTATTTGTTTAAGTACAAAGCTGCACAATAGGCTATTTGCGCTTTGTCCACCAGGGGGGAATCGAATCGTAGATTTTAGCGTTATAAGTCCGTAAACTTCCCTTTAATCCAATTGGGAACTACATTTCTTTACATTTACAGAGATTCCAAGATTGATCAATTACCAAGAAAGAAATATATGTGTATGGGTAATCCGCACCTGTTTAAAGGGGTCTGGTGTATGCCTCCAGAAGTTTCTTTGGAGCTAAATAGTGCATTCTGGTGGATTTGAGGGATTACAGTGCACAGTATGAAGACTCTAAAGCTTAATATAGTGGAATGGAAAGAAAGATACCATTGTTATACAAAGTGGCATTCGTGCAAGTACAGAAATCTTGAAATGTACACACAGGTAATAAAACTTAATATCATCTCCAAACGACGAAGATGCATCGTTTACGAAATTTTTACATTTTTATGAAGAGAAGGGATCGCCGGAAAATATCGAAGACACTAGGTGAGAGAGGCTACTCTCCGAATAGTTTTCCTTTGATCACAAGACTCGATAATTAATGTTTAGACTGATTAAACATAAAATAATTGAGATTTGCACTTTGGGCCATGTGGGTGAAAAGGAATCAAATCTCATGTGACTCACGGTAAATACGCTACACTACGCATTTCTATATTCACCCACCCTAATATTTTGTATTATGGGCCCGGCATGGTCAGGTGGTTAGGGCGCTCGATTCGCAATCTGAGGGTCGCGGGTTCGAATCCCCATCACACCAAACATGCTCGCCCTTTCAGCCGCGGGGGCGTTATAAAGTGACGGTCAATCCCACTATTCGTTCGTAAAAGAGTAGCCCAAGAGTTGGCGGTGGGTGGTGATGACTAGCTGCTTTCCTTCTAGTCTTACACTGCTAAATTAGGGACGGCTAGCACAGATATCATTCGTGTAGCTTTGCGCGAAATTTAGAACAAACAAACAAACATTTTATATTATTATATTTCGCTTGTTTGTCTGTTGTTAAGCACAAAGCTACACAATGGACAATCTGTGTTGTGCCCGTCACGGGTATCTAAACCCGATATTGTGCGTTATAAGCCTTAAGACTTACCGCACTCTACTTTGCTATAAGATGAATATGTAGACACTTTAAAACAAGAAAACAAATACAAACATTAATTGTTTCTCAAGTTTTTTTGAGTCATGTATTTCATTTATTGTGAGCACGTTATTTTTGTCATTGAAAGCTCACACATTGTTTCTTCTATTTCAGTATATTAATTTGTGAATACTGAACATTTCAGTATAGGTTTAGGTACTTTTGTTACCCAACTCTAATATCTTACAATTATATTACTGCATACTGAGTTGCATCCATTTTTTCGTAATGTATGTGTTTGATGCGGTTTTCTAGACTTTGATTAACGTAATTATATATCTTATTTCCACATAATAAATGTAGGAGATAGATAGCGTCTGTAGATAGCAAGTAAGACTTGCTCAAACTGGCAAATTACCTGCCCTTATACATAAGGCGATTGAACGTAGTCACCTAGAGGTAAACAGTATAGTTTGTGAAGAGAAACTGTTCTCTAACGCGTCAGCTGTTCTTGATGTCCTGGTTCTTGTGGTAGAGACAAGGTGGGGGTTCCCTATATGTACACAAAAAGCTAAGAATCACGGTATTTTTTCGGACTTCTGATTACAGTCTCTGCTGTCACGCTGTTTCTGACAAAAACTGATGACAAAAGTTTGCAAAATTAAACATGTTGAACATCCTCTCTTCTTTCCATACTTGCCCATGGCATTTGACTTACGTACGTTAATGTATCCACGAACGCCCCCTACAGTAAGAATATTTGATGCGGGTTGTTAACTAAAATCTTGACTCAATATGACAGCTTTGATCCTGGATGTACAGCGATAACTCACGCCGGGTGCTGATAGACAAGCTTTCCTGTCCCGGAGAACTTGTTTAAGACGGTTTGATACACCGAACCGGATTCGTACTAGATGTACATAGGGGAAGAACGTTAAGATAGTGATCATTGGAATTTCTTGCTACTAATTTGAAAAGATGATGAAAGAAAGAACAAAGCGCTGTTTACTATTCCTATAGCCATTTAACTTTGTGCTGGAGGTATTGATTAATTTTCAGTTACACTTATATTTCTTTGAATGGGATTAATTATCCGTAATAAAGTGTGTAATGATACATTGCATTGTAGCCAAGGCCCATAACAAAATTCTAACTATTTAAATCTTTCAAATAGGTTCAATTGTATATAAACGAGAAAACCAGACCAAACGTATAATATAAGCAATTATTAGAACTTGAACGCCCCCCAGTAGCACAGCGGTACGTCTGCGGACTTACAACGCTAGAAACCGGGTTTCGATACCTGTGGTGGGCAGAGCACAGATAGCCCATTGTGTAGCTTTGTGCATAATTACAAACAAACAAGAACTTGAACATACGGTTACTAGAATAAAGGATGTCTAAATACTGTATATGTAACGTACACCAAACGCCGGAACTAAAACAGGTAGATCTGTAACATAAAGTTTCAAACATTTACCTCAGTTGAAACTGATTAGAATCCAATCATTGAATTAATGTTTTGTAGATCTAAAATAAAGAGAAAGTATTAACTGTAGATATTGAGGATTTATCTAACCTTATAAGAACTATGTTTTAAGTCTCCTGCTGCTCTTGGAACTACTTTCTCCGTGTCGTTCGTATTCAGTATGATCATAATTACGCAATATGACCCTCCGCACCGCAACTTATATTGTAACAAGAAGGGCGAGGTCAATCTTAGACGAAACACACATCAAGCACACTAAAGAAGCAAAAGTCCAGAGGAACTGCATCAGGAGACTCGACAGCAATGTGCTGGAGTAGGACTGCTGGGGCTTGTTTTAACCATTTTTGTCATGAAAACTGCCATTAATTTCCAGGTGTAGATGGAAGCTTGTGAGCTTTCATCAACTTTAAATCCTTGTCTGCTATCTTGTATACAATACCATGAGATACACCCAACTACAGATGTTTTAGTTAGAGAGTAATCGTATATTTTCTTTTTAAAATCAGGCCATTGGTCCAAACTAGTTTCGAGAGTGGTTTTGGAGCCCGTTTCTGTACTAAACGCTTTTCAAGCAGGTTACTGAAGGTTCTATTCTTCGAAATATTATTTCCGTTGAGTCTACGTTGTTTAACTATTTCACCTGTTATTGAAGGTTCTATTCTTCGAAATATTATTTCCGTTGAGTCTACGTTGTTTAACTATTTCACCTGCGACATATTCTTCTAACAATAAATCAAAATGTGACAGCACTGCACTGTCGAATTATCAGACATTCGCCGTTGACCAAAAATATATGTACCAAACATGTCTCCTGTGGCACCACGGGTCGTATGTGCGACGACACGAAATTTTGTAATAGTATATGCAAGTCGTTCTTATAAAATGCGATTAACTTTCTGTAAAATATTAAACTGCAACATGGATTAAGCTTTACAAACATGTTTAATGCCGTTTTTCTGCTAGATAGAAAAATAGCTAGCAATGTAATAGTGTCCCCCTAGCAACCCAGTTTCTTGTCAGTTGAGGAAACCTTGACAATAATACCAAGGAAGATAAGCAGGCAGTGTCAATGTCGTAACGAGAACCTGCATTCAAACCCACGCCCACTGGAATAGTCGCCTTCAAAGGACACATTACTGTGCCTCGAAATTTCCTAAAGCTTTTCAAACGTAAGCAGCGCACAGGTGGGTAGAATAAATTACATTTTTGTCAGGCCTGATCGACACACACTCTCTTTCATACACACACACACGCCAGGGCTCAGCTCTAACGCGAAGAGCGAATATCAATTATAAACGACGGAAACCCCATACAGAAGACCTGAATTTACAGTCGACAAACGACCACCAAACTGCCAGGAAACCATTAAAAGCTTCGGCCATTAAAACTTTTAGTGCACTATTATGCGTAAAACTTTGACAGAGCTTTCTTTTTCGAACACTAGAAGTTTTAATAAAAAATAAAAATAAAAGAGGCGCCAAAATAATGCAACATGGTAAGTACTAAGATATATAATAGCTAAGTATTACATGCAGTTTGGATACTTTTACAAATGACTAATTAATTTGTGTTAAACAACACCAACAACTCAACGTCTAAAATAAGAGCCTCTATATAATTTTAATGTATGAGAGATATATTACACTTTTATTTGACACTTAACAATTCAGAGCTTCTCTTCTAATATGACAGTTACTGGCAATTACATATAACATTCAGGAAATTTATATACGAAAACATAAAAGAAGATTAAAGTTATGTAAGATATAAACTTTAAGAAAATAATAATAATTTAAAAAACAATTTCTCGAAAAGAATAAGCATTCGAAAACCACTCAGCCACAACTTTCCCTTTTTCATACAAACGTAATTTAAATAGTTGTATTTGTCTTTAGCTCTATATCTAACCAATAACGTATTCAAGGGCTATCAAACATTAATGGAGCTTTAAACACTTTGGTGCTACAACATGGCACCTTGTACGATATACAACTACTTCCCCTTTTCATGGTTAGTAGCCTATACGTTATAACTCATACTTCATTTCTCACTTCAACTTGAAGTAATTACAAACAGAACACGTTTTTACATCTAATTATTCTGGTGAAGAAAAAATACAGACATCGAACACAATTTGAACAAGTAGAACACCAAATATTCACATAAAACCAGACCACACCCTTAAAATATCTATTGTTAAAATATGTACAAACAAACACTATACAAGCGGTGCAAACAAGCCCAAATATGATAGTTTGTGTTGTTGTGCTGAAAAATATGTAAAGAAACATAATATCCAAATGTCATTACTTGATGCTCAAACAAAATCAAATATTAAGCTTGATTGCCTGTTGCTAAAACCAGAAATATACAAATTAAAAAGACATTACCTTTATGTTTTTGATTGCGGAAAGAGACATAAACAGACACGATATCAGTAGTACAGATAGAACCAAACATTGGCAGACATTACACTTGATCATCTGTTTTTGAAACATATATAAACAGACATGACTCCGGAAGTATGTACAGAACGAGACATGATGCTTGAACATCTGTTGTTATACAGAGATATATACAGATGTGATGTCTGAATGTCAGTACAAGACATAAAAGTTGAAGTTTAGGTGGACAAAGACATATGAAAATATGTGATATATTCAAGATTTCCTAGTTCGAATAGACACATTGAAGGAAGAGGAAATGAGAACTGAAACTCGTGTTTATAAATAGGACGAGATCTCTTACATGACCAGTCTTCACTGTTGACTGCTAAGAACTATACAGGTAAAACCATTTTTGATAGTTATCTGTTACTGAAAAAAATATTTTGACAGAACCAAACACCATGGTTGGACTGTCTTGTACCAATGAAGATATAAACCGGAAGACGGATAGAGATACAAACAGGAGCAGGATTGATATTTATGTGTCTTGGTGTTGGAGGAAATACAGACAAGCCCAGGCTTGAGCATATACAGACAAGATCAAGCCTAATCATAAGTGTCTTGGTGCTGAAGAAGATGCAGATAAGCCTAGACTCGTTGATAAGGTTTTTGTGTTCAAGTAAATACAAATAAACCTGATTTAATGATACGTGTCTTGGTGTTGAAGAAGATACAGACAAACCCAGGTTTGAGCATAAGTATCTTGGTGCTGAAGAAGATAAAGACGAGCCCAAATTTGATCATAAGTGTCTTGGTGCTTTACTTTTATCCAGAAATACTTTTTAAAAACATGTATCATTTGTTTTGTCAAACATAGTTGACATTTAAATGTATAATAAATTTTTATTCTGATATTTTAGTTTTAACACAACCTGAAGAACAACATGTTTCTTAATCGATGAAACAAGTTTTAAACTTTTAGCTGCTTTAAAACACTTAAGAACCATTCAGTAACTTGAAGTCACGTTTTCACTAGAGTATGTCTGAATAAGGACCTACAAGTGGACAATGGTCATTTTCAAACTATCGTTGTGCTGTTCAAGGTCAATTTTAAGCTTAAATATATTCACTCATCCTTCAGAATTGTTACAGGATAGCAGACTCAGCAGGGGTAGAGTTGGAAGGTAAGAGGGGTGGGGGAGGGTCCTTTTCCCACTAACTTATTCTCTGTTGATATCAGTGGTTCTAGAAGAGGGAAATAGGCCGGTCTGTCTGTCCTTCCGATCTCGCTAAATGGCACGGGTGAGTGTGCATTAAGCTCCGGAGGTATGACGACTCTGACAAATCGCCTTACTCCCCACCGAGAACTTCGTCTCCCTCCCTCGTCTATCGTGGGAATACCGGCCAGGTGTGCTCCCGAGGGCTTTGTGATTCTGCCGCAGGCTGTCGCCTGCTGTGACCCGCCCGCGGAGGCCGCAGTCCCATCACGAGCACACAAGAATTTATTTACGGTAAATGACTGGCCTTGTGCACAAGAGGAAAACTTGGTAACTCAAATCTAATCTGTGCAGAAAAACTTTTAACACCAATCACGAAAAAGGGATATCAGGATATTTCAACGTATAAGAAATATTGCTGGCTGCATGACAGAATGGTGGTAAATTAGTTGTTAAGATAAAATTTATACCACCTAATTATGACAAACCGATTCACGTCACGAAGAAAATTTAGTATGCTTAATAATTAACTAATAACTGTATTATATATATCCTGCCAATTATCAATAGAGTGCATGAATATGTTCATCATATTTCAAAATATACGATTTAGCAACTGGATTCGTGATATTTCTGTGAAAACTCCATTTTCTTGTTATAGGCAAACATTCACCGTAAATAAACTGTAAATAAAATAAAATGGCTAAAATGAGTATATAGGAAATATAATTACCTGATAACTGTTTTAGTCAAACAAACTTCATTGACTACATTTTAATTTTCTGTTATATTTTTGTTCAAAAGTATTAATAAGCAAATTCCTTTAACTTGAGATGGCCCCCCAGTGCGGACTTACAACGCTAGAATACGGGTTTCGATACCCCTGATGGACAGAGTACAGATAACCCATTGTGTAGCTTTGTGCTTAATTACAAACAATAACTTGAGATGTTTCTTAACATTTTAGATCCTTCTCTCAACAAAACGAAAGTTGTACAGGAACTTATTATTTTTGTATTATATCGGTTTTAACCATTTCTTAATGATTTCAGATTTTATTATGTTTAGCTGCATTTATTTGTTTTTTGTTCTGTTTTTTATCTGTAGTTTGATTAATATTTTCATTGTTATAAATCTAGGAATAAAAAAAAAGTTAATTCAATTATTCGTGTTGTTCAAAAACAACAAAGCCCAATAAGAACACTACGGAGGCCCGGCATGGCCAGGTGACTAGCGTGATCGAATTCCAATCTGCGGGTCGTGGGTTCGAATCCCCGTTACATCAAACATGCTCGCCCTTTCAGCCGTGGGGGCGTTATAATGTGACGGTCAATCCCATTATTCGTTGGTAAAAAAGTAGCCCAAGATTTGGCGATGGGTGGTGATGACTAGCTGCCTTCCCTCTAGCCTTCCACTGCTAAATTAGGGACGGCTAGCGCAGATAGCCCTCGTGTAGCTTTGTGCGAAATTCATAACAAACAAACTATACTTCAATATGATTCGCTAATTTTATTTTTGATCACATCTCAATTAATTTTCTCTTTGCGAACTTTTGGATTTGTCCGTAAGATATCTTTTTCTAGTAACTATAGAATGCAGCCACTAATAACTAGTGATCTGTCTGCCTTTCGTGCGGCCCCTCCATACGACTTGGAAGATGGAGAGTTTTCCCCATTAATTTATTTCAAATAGCATCTCAAGTTTATCCTGATACCAGCAAGACAGAAGTGGTCTCGTAAAATCTAGTGGCTTGATTGTGATTGCAATTTAGAATATAGCCAAACACGTTTTAAAAGCTCCTTCCTCTCCAAGGAAACAAACTATTGTAAGTTAATGGTTCATTTGGCATGATTACAATGACTGGAGGAGTTCATCGTGGACACTGACTGACAGAAATTCAAGCGGCCTGATTGTGAAAGTTGTTAGCTACTCTGCAAGTGGCCTGTCTTATCTGTCAGGATCATTATCTGGCCTTCCACAGCAATGGTAATTTTATTATCTGTATCTTCCTGTACTGGGGCAATCTTCGCACTTGTCGATTCTCGACAGTTGTGAACATACTACAATTACTACTACCACACACACACACTTCGATTGAACAACATCAACCATTTTTTTCGTGGAAAAGAGTTAACTTAGCATCTGCCACACCTCCAACAGCTTTCTGAAAAGTTACTTTTATTAAACCTTATTGACAGTTATTTCATTGCCAGAAACCTTCCTCCATTTCTCTGTAACTAATTAGTATTACCTTGTGATCAAAGAAAATTACCTACACGGATATGAACTAGATATGTATGTAGCTAGAAATGTTAGGTACTTTGGGGAACATAGCAATAATTAGTGAAATTAATTGCAATATTGATGGTAATTTCATACCTTTTGTGTGGCTTGTGCGTTTTTAAAGGTTAGTATTCTCTGCTGCGT